AATACTTATCAAGCAATTTTTATGTAGGTGGTTATGAGAAGCTGATTCAGCAGAAATAAGATCAAAAGAAGCCTTCAACAAACTAGGCAGAAACAGAAGAATTTTAAAAATATTAAGATAATACTGCTGAAAGAAAAGTTGTGTGTATGTGACGGTGCTCAAGTGAACTAGTCAAGCCTTGATTTACTCTCAGAATTGTTCACAGGTTTTATTATTTGTGTACCATCTGGTCAGAACTCATTCTAACATCTGGAGACATGCCTGCTTACAAAGTTGTGGCTAGCCAACAACAACTTCGAGGAAATAATTGGGAAGGGTTCTTGATGTGCCAATAGACTCTACGTGCACGTAATTTAAATTTTGTATAAGTTGTTCCATTTTGTTACTGCTATGAAGTGCAGCAGTTATACTTAGAAAACAGGACTTTAAATGTTCCTCACATGCAAGTATGTATTTGTCTAACCAATTTCTTCCTTGAGTGTAAGCCATATGTTAGAGTTCTGTTCACAACTATTTTTCTAACATTAAGTCAAAACGGAACATTTAAGAATAAAAATATTGTTATACTTTTAATGCATATATGTTTTATAACCTGACAACAGAATTGTGCAGCTGGGGTCTTGAACATCAAGATGCAGTTCAGAATGCTTTGCTTGTGTCTAGAATGTGCAGTCTTGTGATAAAACACTGTGATCCTGAATAGCAATTTTTGTCATGCTAACTTTACATGCTGCCAATTTATGCCACATGAGTTAATGTGTTTTTGAGAGTAAACATAATAGCAGTCTCTTCCCTCAAGTATTTTCAGCATATTGCATATTGTTTCAGAGTTTGGAAAGTACTGGTCAATTTATACATCATTCTTTTTTTTAGGAATGGTAAACTTATTGAAGAAAATGAAAAATATGTGCTGAGAGGTAGAAATATGGAATTAACAATAAGAGATATTAAAAATATCGATGCAGGTCCTTATATCTGTAATGCTAACAACAAAGCAGGAAATGACAGAAAACAGACCATCCTTCAAGTTTTTGGTAAGTACTGCGTAGTCTGTTCTATTCTTCCTTTTAAAATCTAAGCATGAGGTGATAAATGGTGAGGTGATAATTCACAATTTTCAGTGGAACAGTATTCCTGCAAGGTGCCTACTGATGCAGCAAACCACTCTGTATAATTTTACAGCTTTTTTTTTCCCTGTTGGCTACTTTAACCTTTACACCTGAATTTAATCTTGAAAAGGCTATCTTTAGCATTTGCTTTTCTGCTCTTCAGATACAGTACAATGGAGTGTTAAATTGTTAATTCACTCAGGTTTTCCTTCAGAAGCTGGCTGCTTGAAACAAATTCAAGAAGAAAAAGATGGGGAAATTATGTTATGAAAAGTGGAAAACCAGGTTATTTGGACTTCTGAGCAGTGAGATTTTTTAATAAGAAAACACCATGCAGAAATGTTGCTGATTGTTTTGCTTTCTTGACTTTTATTTTATAAGTGAATGATCTGAATTTCAAAGGACAAAAGTAATAACATCAAAACTCTTACTTCTCTTTCTGTGCTCCATCACCTGATCTGTGTTAATGATTCTCTCCTTTACATGGTAGGAAAAATCTACGAAAAAAATAATATGTTGGAGTTTTTTATATTAATCATAGCTTGTAGAAGAGTAAAAGACCATTGTCATTTGAACAGTTAAAGGCTGTACTTTGGACGATGGGAAATTAACTTACTTGATTTAAAAATAAAAAGAAAATTAAAAATGAAACATTATATTAAAAAGTAAATGTTAAATATTAACTCCCAGTTAAAACTAATACAAAGTGAAGGGGCTTGTCATGGTTTAACCCCAGCAGCAGCCAAGAACCACACAGCCTCTCACTCACTCCCCCACCAACGGGATGGGGGAGCAAATTAGAAGGGTAAAAGCTACAAAAACTCATGGGTTGAGATAAAGACAGTTTAATAGAGAAAGCAAAAGCGGCACACACAAGCAAAGCAAAACAAGGAATTAATTCACTGCTTCCCAAAGACAGGAGGTGTTTAGCCATCTCCAGGAGAGCAGAGCCCATCACGCGTAACGGTTCCTTGGGAAGACAGACGCCATCACTCCAGATGTCCCCCCTTCCTCCTTCTTCCTTCCACCTTATATACTGAGCATGATGTCATATGGTATGGAATATCCCTTTGGTCAGTTTGGGTCACCTGTCCCAGCTGTGTCTCCTCCCAATCTCCCATGCATCCCCAACTTCCTTGCCAGTGTGGCAGTACAGAAAGCAGCAAAGGCCTTGACTCTGTCTAAGCTCTGCTCAGCAATAACAAAAACATCTCTGCATTATCAACTCTGTGTTCTGCACAAAACCCAAACACAGCCTCATACTAGCCTCTATGAAGAAAGTTAACTCTACTCCAGCTCAAACCAGCACAGGGCTCTAACAGGAGAGGGTAATAGGATAACTTGCACTGGAAGAACTTAGCTGTTTGGTTGGATAATGCTGTCATTTGGGATCTGTGAGCCTGAGGCTGAAGCCACAGTGTCAGTGAACATAATCGGGCTGTGTTTGTGTGTCCCACTGTCTTTCCTGTTTGAGGAACTCTTCCTAGCCCTTCACGCTGTGCTGTCTCCAGAGCTCTGTTCCTCAGGTCAGTTGTCTAGGCAATTGAGTTGCTTTGTTGTCCTGAGGTACTTGTAAGTTATTCTCAATGACTTTGCCAAGGGAAGATGAACTAAAATCTTACATTTCATCCCGGCCTCAAGAAGTACAGCATCTTGAAGATTTTTGTGGAACACCAAAATATTTCACTCATTTGTATTTCCAAACTAACTAACTAATCAAAATAATTGAAAGAATAGAAATTACTTGCTACTTTTGATATGAATTTAGGGAAATTTTGGAGAGAAATAACTGTATGTGTTATTTAAGTAATTTTAAGTATGGCTGAAATTTACTTAGTTTTTGCCTAGAGCAAGGAAACTTTTTAATGCAAGGGATAAGGAAAAGGAGACATCAGACTAACAGTGAGTATCTTCTGTATGCATTCTTTCATCTTTTAGCAGCCACTATTCTGGGACTCACTGGAAAGCTAAAGCCAAATGTTTTAATAGATACTGTGAGTTGGTTTAAATCAATTTTTGAGCTTACACATCCATATTGTTTACATGACATCTTAAAGTCTTCAATTCCTTATATCATTTCTTTTGTGAATGAAAAATTATTTCTTATGTGTAAGTTTGGAGTCTATTCATTTTTTGGCTGATAATTATAATTTTAATATAAAAAGTGAAGGATAATTCCTGATGTTCTTTGGATCAAATGTAGTTTTCTCTCACTAGTTCATTTATTTTCTAAGCTATGGCTTTTCAGTCCACTGAGTTTCTCCTTCTGTAGAAACAATTACGAATCTCTGAACTATGAATTCCTGTACCTTTCCATTTATAATTTCCTGTTTGTGAAATGGCAAGACAAGAATGGCACACAGGATTTGCATTGTGGGGGGAGCCTGCCTGTTCAGCAGCACAGAGTTGCTTCTGCTTTGATCTCGGTGCCTTCTCTGACATTTTGTTTGCTTCTGGCTCTCCCCAACTACCAAACTAGTGTTTTCACAGAACTCTCTGAAACATCTCCCACATCTCTTTCCTGAAGGGTTTTAGCTAACTTAGGGCACAGCATTGCTATGTATATTAGATACTTTGCCTGTGTTCTTTACTATCAAATACATTTAATTAGAGTATAATAATCTGTATACTGTGAGTTTGACTTCATGTCATGGTTTAACCCAGCAGGCAGTTATGCATCACACAAGCAGCTCACTTACTCTTCCCTGCCTGCAGAGGGATCATGGAGAAAAAAGGGGGGAAAAAGGAAGATTTGTGGGTTGAGATAAAAACTGTTTAATAGGACAGAAAAGGAATAATAATTATTATTAAAACAACAACAATAATAACAACAACAGAATTAAAATATACAAACTAAGTGATGTACAACTGCCCACAACCCACCAACCAATGCCCAGCCAGTTCCAGAGCAGTGGCCCTGGCTAGCTTTCCCCTTGGTTTATATACTGACCATGACACCATATGGTATGAAATATTCCTTTGATCACTTGGGGTCACCTGTCCCGGCTGTATCTCCTCCCAGGTTTTTGTGGAACATCAAGCAGCGACCCCTGATTTTTTTTTCCCCGTCTCATCACTGGTGGGGTGAGAAGCTGAAAAGTCTTTGATCCTACTGTAAATACTGCTCAGCAACAACTAAACCATCAATGTGTTACCACTGTTATTCTGAATCCATTGTGCCTAAATCCAAAACACAGCACTAGCTACTAGAAAAAAATTTACTCTATCTCAGCTGACAGCAGGGCGCCTTAGAGGAGAGTATCATCAATTAAGTCTCTTAGCTTATTTGTAATTTCTCAAGCCTGGTGTAATTTTAGTCTAATATCACCTCTAAAAAGTTCATCTCTAACTGTGAAAATGTGGAACAGAGCCGTAATTTCTCCTACAAAGAACTTTGCTTTTTCTTTTATCTCTTTCACATATGTTAAATTCCTAGTCATATGTACAGCCACCAACTTATTACAGTTTTCTTCCCTTCAAATGTGTTAAAAAAACCTGCAGTCTGAAAATGGCAAGGCAGATGACTGGTTATTATAGCTAAACAGTATGCACAAACACAGCTAGTTTGTGTTAAAATGACCTATTCAATTACATTTTTCTTTCCCACTTCATTAGCTTACTTATCTCACATACCTGCTATCTTTAATTTGCCATGCAAACTCCTTGGATTAATGACTACTGTTTTTACTACAACAGGGCTCTGGCAGAGTTGAAACTCATAATAACTCTAATGTTACCATAATGCAATAAAAAGAATGGTTACATTATAGCATTCAGCATTTAAAATTTCTGGTATTCTGCACTTGTGAATGGATATGCCCATCTTAGTGCCATGTAACAGCTGCCTATGTCAAGTTACTATGTGTGACCTAAATTCTTCTGTTCAACTTTATTTTTTCTTTTCAGTATCAGTGCTAAAAAAAAGCTGTTTTGTTCTCATACCAAATTCTTGCTCTGACAGTTTTTCTGCAACACTAACACACTTATAGACACCTATAGGTAGACACCCTGCTCTCCCCAGTTCTTCGTCTTTATAAGTGCTTTTTTAATCTGCTCTATCTAAAAAGTCAGAGAAAATAAAGTCCCATTTCCCTCATGGTCTTTCTTACTGCTGTGATTTGGTGATCTGTCTTTCACCCTGTTATCTGCTATCGTTCACTCCGTATCATTATCCATTACTACCTAATTGATCTCATCCACATTAATGTTTACAACTTGTGCTAATGTTTTTGATTCAAATTAATTTGCTTAAAACTAAGTGTTCTCCCTTGAATTCTTTAAAAATGGGTTTTGTGTTTGTCTCTGCTTGGTAGCTATCCCTTTCACCTATACTATTGTTTTATTGTTTTCTTTGATTTGTTTTGTGTAGTAGTTAGCCATAACTAGTTAGTAGTTAACCCTAACCCTAACCCTTTTTTTATTTTTTATATTTATATAAATATGTGTTAGGTATATGTAAATTAACATTTTCAGTATGAAATGCCACATTTTTACAGCTATCGGCAACCCATCAAAAATTTCCAAAAATAACAATAACAAGCAGTTGATTTGAGAGCAGTCAACAAAATTCAATACCTTAAAGCCTCTCTAAAATCTTCTTACTTTCTCAGACCAAAACATTTCTTCATCATTCCTTCTCCAGAGTGATGGCAGTAGTTTTCATTTACCTCAGAATGAAAGATCTAATCAGATTGAAGGAAACAAAATTAGCTTTAATTAAAGACCTATTCTTAAGAATGGTATTATATTCTGAAGGTAGTTTTATATCCTCATTTTGTTTCTTCTTTAGTCATTTATTTCCACCCCTTTATCACTCAAATGCTTGGTTATGCAATTCAATGATACTTAAAGAGTTGAGGTTTTCAACAAGTTTTCTCTCTTCTCTACAGAGGCCATAAAAAGAGACAGCTCTATTATTTTCTTTT